TGAAGATTGAATGAAGGGTAGGTGCTAGACATGCCATGAATACTTCAAAACTACATGCAAGTCATAGCTTCTCAACAGTAAACAGTTCATTCCCAATTATATGAAAAGGAAAATTACACACCCGTTACTGTGTAAAATTATTTTGATAACTGAAATATTTGGGCAAAAAAAGAATGGAATTTGAAACATTGAGAAGTTCGGGTGGAGTTAAACTCAAAAGTTGAAAATTGGTTATACTGATACAAGACTGTATGTGATTCAGAAATTGACATTGCTACGTCTTAACTCAAAACTTGAACCAAAAAAATAATAGATTTGTAATTGATGATGGGATGTACTTGCTTGAGGGAGGTGTTTTTAGCACCTGCACCGAAACATTGCATTGAAAGATTATAAAATATAATCCTTAAGTGAACCCTGTCTTCATTTCTACCTTGTTGATTCCATGTGCTACTTACAGATAGAGTTGTTATTGTTTTATGTTTTGAGTAATTGAAAGTCTTATTATGATGGGGCTTCTGAGCTTATTCTAGCTTCTTCACAAAAACAGGAATATCTTTTTCCAGATAATATATCACAAGTTTAAATCCTTAAGCTGCTATGTAAGTTTCTGACTACCGGTAGTTTTGCCTGGGTTTGTTTGTTTCAGAAGAGCCATGCTGACCTAAGGTATCAGGTTTTGCTCTAATCATCTTCTTACTCAATAAGTTAACTTAAATGTTTCACCTTGTCAGCCAAAGAAATTATAGGAATGGAAAAAAATACCCAAGGGCATTGTGTAACATGATTTTTTACCCCATGAAAAAAGCCATATTTCTCTTCCAGTGGTATTTTCCATTTCCAGATTGTCAAACTAATTCGTTTCCCCCACTCCTAAATCTAAGCTAACTACTGTCGTTTAGGATTTATGGGGCATAAGTTCATCTTAACCTCCACTCAACAGTCTCTCCTTACACACACAAGTCCTTCTGTACAGAGAGTACATTGTGTCATATGTACCCATGACGTCACATGTCACCCTGACGATCATAGGGCATCGTAGAGATACCAGGAGAAGCCAATCGGTTCAGGTAGCGCCAGCTGACAGATGGACGGACAGACAGACTTGATGACAGTCGCGGTGATCAAAGGGTTGTTATCTTGGGGATTATGGGTTGTGTCAGTGATGACACAAACTGGTGAGGTAAGAGCGCATTTGACCCCGATGAGAACTGATAAATAAATGGTGTCAGTTGTTACACCCAGTGAAAGCTGTATCAGTGTGGAGGTTGCTTCATGCGCAAGTGCGGCCTGGACCACCTGTCTGTAACGCAAGACTCGCGACATTGTGCACTGATATGAGGTGCTGATACTGGTATAAGAGAGCTTGTTTTACGGTATGCTAATGTATTGTGGAGATAAATTTTTAATTTTTTTCAGCAGTCTAATATTTTTTCAGGGACAATTTATTTTTTTTCAATAAAATTGCAGCCCCCTGCGAATATCAAATGGTGGGTCCCTTAAACTTCTTTTAGCAATATTCCTGCAATATCATGGCAGTGCGCAAGAAATGGTCGTCACACTCAGTGACCATGTCAGGAATCAATCCTGAAGCTTCACAAATCAACTGAACAGTACCTAGTACATGTTCACTGAACAACTGAATGATACCTCCTACAACAAAAGCCATGCAGATCAATACATTTCTTTTTCTTGCAATTGCTTTGCCAAAAGAGTTAGAGACAGATTTGTCTAGAACTATAGTTGGACTGTTTCAATGAACCCAGCCATGATCCCCTCCAGCAACTGAAAGCCAACAGAAATTGTTTCCAGGATTCTTTTTCAACCTTATATGACACCCCAAAAAACTCAAAAATGATTAAGCAGCCCTGTCATCGACTTCTCTGTGATGGAAGTTTGTCGATGGCAGATTTGCAACAGGGTAAATGAAGTTGTCTGGCATAACAGACCAACATGCTTATCAAAATGTAAATTTTCCTCTCTTTTTTTCACAATCACAAAACCCACCGGGGATCTGGTGGTCAGACTCGCTGACTTGGTTGATGCATATCATTGCATCCCAATTGTGTAGATCGATGCTCATGATGTCAATCACTGGATTGACTTGATTATTTACAGACTGTTGTCATAGAGCTGGAATAATGCTGAGTGCAGCGTTAAACAGCAAACAAACAATTCCCAGGCCCACCCCCACCAACACCCCCACTTCCTGCAAAGAAGATAAACTGTTAGGTTCATAAACCAAAGTATGTATGTTAATCCTTGCAGACAAATTCAGACAAATGCTGTAATGAGAAAGGAAATGAGGTTTTCTAGCAAAACATCAGTGTTTAAGCTAATCCTGTTTAGTGAAATTGATATGTCACAGTGCATTAAGTTTGAAGCAGTGTTTTTGTCAGTGGTATGATGTAAACAAGACAATTCAGCTTCAAAATATTCTGGTAAACATACTATCAGACTCAACCATCATGTTAAAACTGCACATTGAAAAGTAATTACATTTTTTGGAAATGGTAGGAGAATTAAATGAACGGTGTCTGAAGTGTTGTATTTCTTGAACTTCCTGTACATGCAGTCTAATACAAAACTGTAATGTAACCATCATGCACCAACTGCATTGAGTCTGGGAAGGCACTAACATGTTCTTCATCATTAACCCATGCTTTCCAATAGGGATGTTAAACTTTCTCTGATCCTAAATCAAAATATTTTCCAACCAAACCACTACAAATGACCATTCATTTTAATCAGCACAACAAGCTGGTTTGAATAAGGGGTCATTGTTTAGGGTTTATTTGAAGTTTTCAATTTAATTCAAACCATCTGCCCTTGTGAGAAAGAAGGGTTAAAATGGAAGCAATAGTATTTATACAACTAATGATAGCAAATGTGTTTAACAGAAGCACATTTGGAACAATGTTCCCCATGACTCTTCCCATGAGAATCGCATCTGTCTTCTTTTGTTGTTTAACGGGCAGCTTGTCAATGGCTGACTGAATATTTTGTCAATCCGAGCTGCAGCTCAACTGTCATGGAGTATCAGGTCTTGGTTATTCAGTGCTTGGTATTTCATTACCTAGACAGTTTTCAGAAAGGCTATAAACTGTAATCCACTCGTCTCTTGTTAACGCCAAAGAATGCAAAATTAGTCTTGAATAGACTTTTAATGGTCATTAGAGTTCATTGAAAGGAGAAATCACTGTCATTTGAAATATAAAACACACATCTATGATTAATCTCTGTCTAGTCGATACACATGTCATCAAGTTTATGACTGCTATTAACGTTGGGGAAAATACGTTTGAATTTGTTAAATATGAAAAAAACATGTTTAGAATATATTTAGTTTTTTTATGGCTGCAAATCTGTGATGTTGCTATGTTACAGATACTATATATGTTCTGTATTAGTAGGCCCATATCAATTAAGTTTCTGCCAAGACCAAAAGAAAATGTAAAACACATTTCAAATTTTGCCAGGGTTCATATGTAGTGGATTTATAGAAAAAGACTTCAAACGTTTGAACAAAATACAAAATCAGAGAAGTTAAAGAAATTGTATTTTAATTTTCCATTATTTTGATGAATTTTTACAATTTCGCAAAGTTTAAAGTAATCCTATTGATAAACAAAATGATTGGTTTGATTGAAATAAAGATTTTATCTGGTACTGATGTCACAGTATAAATAGGAGCTTGTACCTTAATCATCACTGTTGTAATAGCCCCATGTCCACGCTATTTACATATGTAGGAAGCAAATATGAGATCAATTATGGCTGGAATTTTGGCAGACTCAGCAGAAAGTGTGAATGGCGTTTTTCATAACTGCAATAATTGTTAAAAAAGTCATTGCAGAAATTATCGAAAGGCCCACATTTTTGGTGGTAAACATAATTAAGCATCTTGAATATTATCTTTGTGAGCTAGCATGTAGAATATTTTTGATTAGGTTTGGGGAATTCACTAATGTGCTTTGATGTACCTTCAAGAGGAGTTTTTTTGTTGTTTTTTTATTTGTATGTGATATCACATTTTATTATAGGATGTAGGGACGTGAGATTGATTATTACTGCCCACCAGGAAATGTGAATCTTTGAGGGATAGTTTATATTATGGTTAGTTTATATTTATACCACAGTCTCCTCAATTAAGCACATTTCTGTCTTGGGTGGGAGTACTCTTGAATTACCATGGTTTTGGGAACCTTTAATCTTCCTGAGAGAAAAGTAATCTACAAGACATTTTCTAGATCAGAGGCAGTTAACTGATTTGCAGATTCCACTGGAGCTACCAGTCATGACAAATTTAAACATCTGAATTACCATATTTCCTCCAATAAGTGCTGGATCTCTTATAAGTGTTTGTCTCTTATAAACAGGCTCTGTGTTTGAAGCGACTTACATGAAAATTATCACCAGGATTCCAATAACCTGGGTCTCAAATAAGTGCTGTGTGTATTAGATTTAGCTGACTTGGATTTTTGAATTGTGACATGTTATTCCAAAACAACAAAGTTATTTCATTTCATTTCTTGAAATAATAAGCGCCAGGCTTCTCTTTACTGCCTGGCCTCTGTTAACAGCAATAAGTAAATAAGTACCCGGTAGTCATCAGAGGACCTATGATACATTCAGTATTATTCTTTAAAGATCTCTCACAAACATAGTGTTCAACTGTTCTAACAAGAAGGCATGAGTAGCCTTGTGGTGTAAGATGCTGCTCCTCACTTTGGAGAGTTGCGTCCCTTTGCTATAACCTATGTCTGTCCCCACCATAACCATGCTAATTGTTCCAACCAAGGTAGTTACATCAGTGACCAGCTATGAGTTCTGAACATGATTCTTCATTGGAACACCCTTTCTGATCAATATAGGGGCTCCCTGTGACCTTGATTGTCGTCAGCCTTACTTGCATACTCTTTTAAACACCTTTGACAGAACGTGCATTTTTCTTATATATATTATTCGTCCCCCAAAATAACCATGTCTTTTATTTGCAGTAATTCTCGAAGGCTCGGAGGACCAGACGTTGCTAGGTTACATGTTGGTGGCAGTGCCACAAGGAGCTGAGGAAGAGAATGCGACAGTCGGACATTTTGATGTAAGTAAATGCCATTACAACTAAGTATTGCAGGATGTATATATTCACAGGTGGTCACTGGTGGTCCAGTTTTGTGGTGTCACTTGATGTGTAGAGTTGTATCCCTTTAGTTGCCAGGATCAGCTGTTGATGGTTTAAATCCCAGGTCTACTCCAGTGTAGATACTTGGTTTGTCAGCATTATACTCATGCACCCAGTAATTAATTTACTTCCATTGAAGTGGTTCCTTATCGAGCAAAGTGTCAATTTTCATGTATCATGTCACCATGACAAGACACAGCCCTAGCAAGGTGTTATTGGCTGGATGCAGATCATGCAGATTGGCTAACATCAGCAGCAGCTATACTGTACCGGTATATACAGTGAATGAGGCCTATAGGTTTCTAGTTTTATACCAAACCAACAGTAATTTACTTGTGGAATTTGTCAGTTTGATACAAATCAGACCTTTTTCGTTTAAGTTCCAAAAATTAATAGTAAATGAGTGGGGTTTTATGCCTTTTGGCACTATCACGGCGGGGCACACCAGGATGGGCTTCAAATATTGTACACCAGGGAATCAAACTCATGGCTTTGGCTTGATGAGTGCCCGCTTTAACCGCTAAACTACCCTACCACCCACCTGGATCTAATAAGCCTTGTTACTCTTTAGAGTTGTATGATAGTGACATATGCCACTTGTTCAGTGAGAATATTGAGTCCATCTGTTGTGCCCCATGTCCTGGTGTGTTCAGTGGCCACTTGAGTCAGGCAGGATGAAAATGTAGAAAGTCCTCATGGCTTTCATGACAGAGAAGACACACAATTTACACATATAAATGAAGCCCAGTAGTAATGTGGGCAGCTTGACACTTTAACCTGGGAGTATTTGCTCAGAGAGTAACTCAGAATATTTTCTCTCTCAATGTTTTCACAACCGAGGGTGACCTTTTTCACAACACTTTGAAGGAAGTAAATTGGAAAATCTGTCATAAGAGGCAAAGGGCTTGGAGATAGATTCATCCTTGCCCACTTCTGGTCTATTCTGTATCTGTGTGTAAACACCTAGAAGAATGCATCACATAGCTGGGATATAAATTGTTATTATCCCCTCCGTTGTAAATGGAAGTATGTCATGGATTCCCTGGCAAGTCTTTTTGACACGTACAGCTCCATATGTCCATGCCCTGACACTAGGTGTATTCATGAAGGTATTTTGTTGCTGATTCAGGAGAAGTTGAAGAAGAAATCTTGAGAGGGATGAAGATGTGCCCCTTTTCTTTGATTATCTGTGTATAATTCAGGCAATAATGTCACTTACTGGACAACAAAGTCATATCAATATATTTGGTAATCATATTGACGCTTGTGATCTTTATTAGTGAACAGTGTGCATTATTGCGCATCTGGTTTAAAGCATGCATTTTCATCTGCATCAACTTTACAGGCATTGATGTAGCTGTTTGTTTGTTTGTTAATGCCACACTCAGTATTCAAGCTATATAAGGCAGCCTGTAAATAATCTTTTTTGGATCTGACAACCCAGTGATTGTGTGGATCATTGCACACAATATCAATCAACCAAGTGGCTGAGTCTGACCACCCAATCTATTTGGTAACCTTTTTTAAAATGACCAACATAGATTGCTGGGGACCAATTCTGGGAATGCATTTGCATGCTGAGCCGTTGAGCATGTCCCTCAATGGTGGGGAGTCTTGAGGTCTATAAGTAGCTGAAGATTATGTTTGGCTTACCCTCTGTTTCTGTTGGTATAGCTTGCAAGTATTCCATTCTTGGCATAACGGAAACAAGATGGGGATCAGTTGGACACAATGACTGCTTTCTGTGTGGCAACCCTCAGGTGGTTGAACAGTGTATGTGGTCAGTAATGCTGATTGCAGTATCAGAAAAGGCCCTTAGTATATCATGCTTGTCCTGATCAAAATAGGTCCCCAGTACATCATGCTTGTCCTAATAAAATAGGTCCCCAGTACATCATGCTTGTCCTCATCAAAGTCAGTCCCCAGTACATAATGCTTGTCCTGATCAAAATAGGTCCCCAGTACATCATGCTTGTCCTGATCAAAATAGGTCCCCAGTACACCATGCTTGTCCTGATCAAAATAGGTCCCCAGTACATCATGCTTGTCCTGATCAAAGTCAGTCCCCAGTACACCATGCTTTTCCTGATCAAAGTCAGTCCCCAGTACATCATGCTTGTCCTGATCAAAATAGGTCCCCAGTACACCATGCTTGTCCTGATCAAAATAGGTCCCCAGTACATCATGCTTGTCCTCATCAAAATAGGTCCCCAGTACACCATGCTTGTCCTCATCAAAATAGGTCCCCAGTACATCATGCTTGTCCTGATCAAAGTCAGTCCCCAGTACACCATGCTTTTCCTGATCAAAGTCAGTCCCCAGTACACCATGCTTTTCCTGATCAAAGTCAGTCCCCAGTACATCATGCTTGTCCTGATCAAAATAGGTCCCCAGTACTCCATGCTTGTCCTCATCAAAGTCAGTCCCCAGTACATCATGCTTGTCCTGATCAAAATAGGTCCCCAGTACATCATGCTTGTCCTGATCAAAGTCAGTCCCCAGTACACCATGCTTTTCCTGATCAAAGTCAGTCCCCAGTACACCATGCTTTTCCTGATCAAAGTCAGTCCCCAGTACACCATGCTTTTCCTGATCAAAGTCAGTCCCCAGTACACCATGCTTGTCCTGATCAAAGTCAGTCCCCAGTACACCATGCTTGTCCTGATCAAAATAGGTCCCCAGTACATCATGCTTGTCCTGATCAAAGTCAGTCCCCAGTACATCATGCTTTTCCTGATCAAAGTCAGTCCCCAGTACACCATGCTTGTCCTGATCAAAGTCAGTCCCCAGTACACCATGCTTTTCCTGATCAAAGTCAGTCCCCAGTACATCATGCTTTTCCTGATCAAAGTCAGTCCCCAGTACACCATGCTTTTCCTGATCAAAGTCAGTCCCCAGTACATCATGCTTGTCCTGATCAAAATAGGTCCCCAGTACTCCATGCTTGTCCTCATCAAAGTCAGTCCCCAGTACATCATGCTTGTCCTGATCAAAATAGGTCCCCAGTACATCATGCTTGTCCTGATCAAAGTCAGTCCCCAGTACACCATGCTTTTCCTGATCAAAGTCAGTCCCCAGTACACCATGCTTTTCCTGATCAAAGTCAGTCCCAAGTACACCATGCTTTTCCTGATCAAAGTCAGTCCCCAGTACACCATGCTTTTCCTGATCAAAGTCAGTCCCCAGTACACCATGCTTGTCCTGATCAAAGTCAGTCCCAAGTACACCATGCTTGTCCTGATCAAAATAGGTCCCCAGTATATCATGCTTGTCCTGATCAAAGTCAGTCCCCAGTACATCATGCTTGTCCTGATCAAAGTCAGTCCCCAGTACACCATGCTTTTCCTGATCAAAGTCAGTCCCCAGTACACCATGCTTTTCCTGATCAAAGTCAGTCCCCAGTACACCATGCTTTTCCTGATCAAAGTCAGTCCCCAGTACACCATGCTTGTCCTGATCAAAGTCAGTCCCCAGTACACCATGCTTTTCCTGATCAAAGTCAGTCCCCAGTACATCATGCTTGTACCAGCTGAGTACAATGAGCAGTTGGTGCTGAAGCTTTTTACTTACGTATAATTGTACCCGTACAGCATGAGGCATTGCTCATGCTTTCAGTCACTGGTTTGTCTGGTCAAGCAATATAGCTCTGTGAATGTTAAGCACTACAGGATTGTAAGCTGCCATTATAGTGCCAACTATTTGCTTACTATGGTAACTTCATTGATTCACTCACTCACAGTTTACAGAGCTACTAAAACTTTTCTTTACTTCCGCCCCATAAAAAGTTTGTCTGGTCCAGCAATATAGCTCTGTGAATGTTAAGCACTACAGGATTGTAAGCTGCCATTATAGTGCCAACTATTTGCTTACTATGGTAACTTCATTGATTCACTCACTAACAGTTTACAGAGCTACTAAAACATTTCTTTACTTCCGCCCCATAAAAAGTTATGCAAAATGCAGGAAGATTTTTATTAAGTTAGACCACAAACTCTAGGTAATTGACACCTTGTGGCGTTTCCTTCACCACTCAGTGTTCATATTATTTTCTCTTTTGACTTTGAAGTTTAAATGTGGAAGTGTGATATCTTCAACTTGAATGGTCGACAGCTCCATGTCTATCAAACTGCAGATAGAGCTAGCTGGAGCTGTTATAAATAAATGAATAATTTATCAAGAAAATGAATTTATGAAATTTGGTTTGGATAACTGTTATTATCTTCAAAGAGCATTGTTAATAAGGAGGCGGGTGTTTGGTGTAGCAGCCATCAGGGTGTTGGCCCATGATGAAGTAAGAGATGAGCCATTTCATTAAGACCCCATTAAAGTTATTCCAGAAATATCAATACACATTTGATAGGGAAATAATGATAAGACTATCATAATTTTCCCCGCCTACAAATATAAAGAAGGAACATGTTTCTTATTTATAATTACCCTATAATAAGATAGGTTGGGAGAAACTTTCAAAATAATAGAAAGTCTGTATTTACAAAAAGTAAGATACAAAAAAAGATACAAAAAAGATGCCAGTATCTCAGATTTATGTAGACACTACATGTAAGATTTACCTGCACACCCGGGATTAATAGAATGAATAACAAGCTGGAATCCATGAAATATTTATCTTTGATCATGACCAATGGAATAACAATCTGTGAACTTTATCTATGGTCAATAACGATCTTTGATCATGACCTATGGAATAACGATCTGTGATCTATGGAAAAATTATTGGTGATGTGTGGAAAACTGATCTATAAAATAATGATCCATGATCCAGTGGAATAATGATCTATAATTCATGGAACATGTATCTATAAGCCTTGGAGTTTTTATCAACTCATGTTGACATGTTTCATATCAAAGGACACTTCAACCATGCTGCCGTAAAAGGCGACTATGCTTGTCATAAAAGGCTACTAACGGGATCGGGTGGTCAGACTCGCTGACTTGGTTGATGTATGTCATCGATCCCAATTGCGTGGATCAATACTCATGATATCAATCACTGGATTGTCTGGTCCAGACTCGATTACTTACAGACCGCTGTCATATAGCTGGAATATTGCTGAGTGCGGCGTTAAACAACAAACCAACCAACCAAAGGACACAGAGTCTTGATTCTCTATGTAACATGTGATCACTGGTTCATGCCAGTGAATGAGGAAGCATGTGGTTTTGTTGAATATTTTCGAATAAATATAGTCCTTGAACACATCTTTAAAGTGTGCAGATGAGACATTTCTGTCAGAATACAGTAAACTAAATTTACGGGTATGGTGCTGACAAACCTAGAAACATAATCGGGGCGAACCGGGATTCGAACCCACAGTCATAGGTTTCTGGCGTACCCAAGGGACGCAACTCTGCACAGCGAATCGCCGCACCTTAGACGACTGGGCCGACCGTGCCCCCCCTACCCACAGTGAAACATACCTGCAGCAAATCATGAAACAAGGGTTCCAGTATTGCACAGAGGGTGATGGAATACTCGTGATTAGTATTGGGAATGCCATTAAGGGACCCTGGAAACCGCATAAGAAGACAACCTTCTTTCTCATGCGCACAGATATCGAGCCCTCTAGATCAGTCTTCGTTCTGAAGCATATTGTGTGTGGAGGACAAAGACTTAAAGACTTGAGATATTCTCACCATTATCAGGGTTTGGAAATTCAAAGCTTAAAACTTCTTTTTCATCTTCATAAAAGTGAGATCAAACATGAACTATAAAACAAGTTCCAAACAAGTGGACCACTAGCTCCAAGGCATGTTTTGTGAAAGTCAACCTTGTTAAATCCACCCAGGTTCAAATGCCTCTCTCTTTCAAACTTTCACTTTTGACAATAATTTGAATGTGATCACATGAAAGGTTTACATGGCTTGCGTCGTGGCTGGGCGTACACACGTGTTGGTGTATGAGACTGTGCTAGTGTCCTGCAATGATCAACAAATACTTCTAAAAAATTCATAAGAACTGTAGTTCAAACATTCCATTTTGTACCTTGTTTACTCAAACCCTTCACATTACTATATGTTTTCTACATTTTGTTGGAAAGAATTTCAAACGATTGATTGAGAATTGTATGGTGGAGATTTTTTTCTTCTAAATATGTGATTAGGGTGCTGGACTGATAGAACTATGATTGCAGGACAAAGATATCACTTATGCTTTTATTTTGTTGAGAAAACCGAAAGTATGATTTATCAGACAAGGAGTAATGATCTTAATGGAACATAATGTCAATAGATTCTTGCCAACAGGGCATATGTGAAAAATATGTTTGAGCCACTACGATTCTGTTTAGTTTTAAGGATTAGTTTTGTATGTTTTCAAATGTTTATAGCAAACTTGTTTTACTAGTAGTTTTTCTGAAACCTATATTCAAGACCCTTTTGATGAAATAAAATAATATTTATATATTAAAAGGTTTGGGTTTTTTAAAATGATATCCTCATGTTTTCAGAGTCAGACTATTTATAATTGTCAGTGATTTTCTTTGTAATTGGTCTCCAGTCAATCCTGACACAATGTTTATTGTTTGTTTGCTTCTTTCATAAACAAGAAATAAATTTAGTCTGGCCTTTACAAGGTTTAAACTTTTCACAGCTCTGGCCATTCTTAAAAAAACACGATTTCATGACAAGATTGCTCAGGCATCCCAGGCAGAGGAGGTATTTCTTCAGGGAAGGCTACATTGTATAAGCATAAGTTCCCTTATCAGAACATTTGAGTGTGAAAGGGGAGTTTCAGATAGGCACGATAAATTCACATTTTCTATCATTTTTTGTGTGCAAAAAGCATAGTTTATATGGCTCTGTATCTCGTAACATGGGAGATACAAATTTATGGGAGGTACAGATACTTACCACCCATAGAAATAGAAATAGTAGTTGCCGGTGTGGAGCTTACTGTCAGGAGATGTAGATATCATTCTACAACTGTTCTTTATCAGGTTACGATAACGTTATTCATTGTGATTTTGATTGACAAAAAGGAAATTTAACGGTCTAAATCTGCTTTAATTGGCTGTTAATCTGCAATTTATGTATGTAGCAACCAGTCTTATCAACTGAAGTGCATTTGGCTCATATCAAAGTTTTTTTCATTTATAAAAGTATTTGTAAATATGTCTATGTGTCTTAAGAATTCTTATCTAAATGAAAGTATTGCTTAAACTGTGTTTGAGAGGGAAAACATCAGTTGCCTAGTTTGCCTGCGGGTTTGGAAGCGATTGCTCTCTGTAACACAAACACTGCAGGATATATCTTGATTTAGTTGTCATGTTTTCATGAGATTGCTAATAATAGATCCTGTGATAAAGATATTATGACAACAAAGCATTTTTTCAAATATTTCATGTATCCTACTTTACATGATGTGATATGAGTGATATGGCTCAGCAAGTAGGATGATATGAGTGATTTTGCCCAGCAAGTCGTGTGAAATGAAATATAGGTCTGTGACAGGGCTGTCAGCTAAGCCTGTAGTTTTTCATATTCACTGCATAAGGGCCTCGCATAGTACAGAGGGAAGGTGAAAGAGCAGTGCAGACATTTCAAGGAGGGGCAAAGCAAGCAAGGGGGATTATATCTGTCTGTCTGAGTTTCACATGTGAGAGGGAGATGAATGTCAGCTTTCCCCTTGGGAAGAAACTGAACAACACCTTGGACAAGGAATAGTGATTACACCATAGTTTATTGTGAATTATCAGCCTGTCACGTGCCAGGCCACAACACCTGCATGTCATATTTCTGCAGTGTTGGGGGTATGATTTACAGAAGGTATCAGTACATTCCAGAGAGAGCATGTCTATGTGCCTCTTGTTTTTAGAGTCATTTAATCTATGGCAAGAGTCCTTGTGTTGATCTAGGAACCCACCATTTGATATTCTCGGGTGGAGGCTTGGGATTTTTGTAAAAAAATTATTTGTCCCCAAAAATATTGTGTGTGCTGTGCCAAGAAAATAATTGTTCACCTCCCTTTCCAGAGAAAAAAATTGTATGTTTAGAAGCAGTGGCCCAAAAATATTTCTCTAGGTCTCTAAAACCACCACCAAATAATTTATTGGTCAGTCCCTCGCAAATATGTTAGAGGCCTTTACTTTCAGCATATTTAGACACTTCCTGCAACATGTATATATTCCAGTAGATCTTGTTTAAGTAATCTGAATGCAAATGTTCTCTGTCAATAATCAAAATGCTCCACTTACCCCAGATGTAAATGATATGTGTACAAAAGTACCTGATTCACCAGATGATACAGAGATATTAACAAATAGTGAACATGTTTAACAAATACAGCTATGAGGCCATCCCTATGGGATTTCATTACCTGTGTCTTAGTCTCACAAGAAACACAAGGGTAGGGACAAATCCATAAAAACTTCATCACGACCCCCAGTAACATGGCATTTATGACACCATGTGCTTCCAAACAGTGTGGGCTGTGGATTTATTTCAGTTATCTAAATGCTGTCTGATATATTTTCAGCTGAAAATTTGATAACATATAGTAAAGACCTTATCCATATAATTTCTTGTTTTACTCATGTGTTTAGACTAATAAATAAAACAAAAATGTTTAGTTTGATTGAAATGTTTTCTGTTGACGTTTTTTTCTGCAGTTTTTCTATCATATTTAGAAATCTGCCTAAGCATTTTAATCAACAATACCTTTTACACAAAATAAATATTGTTGCAGTGGCAATGTTCTCATAGCTTTCTTTATCATGGTACATCTTGATAGTTTTATGTGTTGGACTTTTAGAATTCTTTGGATAGAAACAAAGAATACAATATGGACAATGTATCTAGTGAAAATAGCTTGAAAATATGTTTACGGACATAGATGACTTGAATGAAAAGAATAAAATAGGTAAAACATGCCTTCAACCTCATATTTTGTAAAAATGTGAATGAAAACGTCAATTATTTATTGTGTATTGTTTCAGATCAAGGCATACCCAGGGTATGTGAAGGACTTGATGGAGGATGACACCTGCGACCACCATGTCATGTCCCATCATTACCTCATGAAGAAGAAGAGTGTCCGAGTGCAGTGGGTGGCTCCTACAGAGAGTGCCGGATGTGTCGAGTTCAGGTAAAGGAAGCTGGGCCTTGTTTTACACTAATCTTACTGTAATAAGATGAGCCACAGTGCAGAGTTGGGTCCTGTAGGCCCAAAACTCATGATTGTGGGTTCAAATCTGACTTTGATCCTTGTTTTTTTAGCACTATGCCATTGCTCCTTGGTTTACCAAAGTGGTAAACGTCTTTGACCTGCCTCACTTTGGCCTTTCCTCTCACATTAAACTGACATGCCATTCAAAATATTGTTCAAAGTGGTGACAAGGGGACAAGTATGATTACTCTAAGATGCTGACATTATAGTTTAGTTTCCTTGTTTTCTATATCTCATTCCCAGCATCATCGTTGTTTCAATGAAATCATTTCCCGTTCTACAGATATTTTCAGAATTCTTTTAGGAGAATGAGAATCTTCTTCTTTTCCCGTAAATCTTCAACTGTCTCATAGTGTTTTTCTTCCAGTCCTTTTCTCTTACATTGTCCTCTTCTACATTGTCCCCTTCCTCTTCCTCTGTCTTCTTCTCTTCCGCTGTCCTCTTCCCTGCATTCTCATCATCTGTCCCTTTTCCTTCCTGTCCTCTTCTCTTAATTTGTCCTCTGTCCTCTTCGTCTGTCTTCTTCTCTTCCTCTGTCCTCTTCCCTGCATTCTCATCATCTGTCCCTTTTCCTTCCTGTCCTCTTCTCTTAATTTGTCCTCTGTCCTCTTCCTCTGTCTTCTTCTCTTCCTCTGTCCTCTTCCCTGCATTCTCATCATCTGTCCCTTTTCCTTCCTGTCCTCTTCTCTTCCTTTGTCCTCTTTTCCTGCATTGTCCTCTTCTCTTCCTTTGTCCTCTTCTCCTGCATTCTCATCATCTGTCCCTTTTCCTTCCTGTCCTCTTCTCTTAATTTGTCCTCTGTCCTCTTCCTCTGTCTTCTTCTTTTCCTTTGTCCTCTTCTCTTCCTCTGTCTTCTGATCCCATCTTCTTCTCTTCCTTTGTCCTCTCCTGCATTCTCTTCATCTGTCCTCTTCCTCTGTCTTCTTCTTTTCCGTTGTCCTCTTCTCCTGCAATTGTCCTCTAGATTTACCTCTCTTTCTGTCTTCTATCCCATTGGGTCAGACTTCATTCTTTCCCAATGACTCTCTTCCACTAAATCTCCTTGCCATCATATCTTCTTAGAGTACCTCCCTTTGAGAACTGCCTAAAGGTATTCATTGTTTTCACTATCTTTCCCTTATCTCCTTCATTCATATGGTCTCCTTTGAATCTAACATCTTTTAATCCTGATTACCATCAGTATTTCACCACTGTCTATCAGACAATTCCAGTAATAATACTGGATATGGCATCACCCTTTCATAGTTCAAATTGCTTTGCACTGCCCTGTACACCCGTTTAAATAGTGGGCATAGCCATAGCATAATACCCCTCACGCAATGCCCCCTCTCCTGTGAATGACTACAGATTACTGAAACTATCATTATCAAAATCCCACTTCATCATAAAAAAAACGAGGAAGAGATTTATAATCCAGTTTAATCCTTCTGTACTGTACACACCAACAGACTCCAGTCATCATTTGCCACATCATTCAACTAGGAAGGGTTTCCCAGGTACCACAACGCTTCCCCTTCTATTTTATGCCATTCAGCAGAGTATAAAGATAGCTAATGAGATGGAAGATCTGAGATGTCTGACAGTGTCTTCTGGGAAAGGAGTTGATGGGCAAGTGAACCAACTGCTGCATCCCACCATATTAGATTCCTACAGGGGGAAGGCTTAGCAGGTGCTTGCTCCATCACATCCCACATGCTGAAAACACATCATTATATAACATAATCACACCACATTAACATTTCAACAAAAATTGTTTTTTCATCCAAGTCACTTTTCTAAAGTGACACTCCAGTTTATTGCTATCTTTGGTTTGAAGTCTTTTTTCATCAGATAAAGTGATTAAAAAAGACTATTTTAGAATTCTTTATGCTTGATCTTTGTGGTAGCTGTTTATCAGGGGAATTTAAATGGCAGTGATTTGGGTGGGGGACTTAGAAAAGGAAACAGTTTTAGGATCAATTCTGGTGTAATTTCAGGATGTTATTAACGATAGGGTGGACATGCTCACTTAACTTTGAACACCTGGTGTTGTCAGTGTGGTTGTGTCATTTATAATGATTATTTTTGAATTTGTGGTGTCTATTTTTGCCACATGTCAAAGAAATACAATTTCAAATATAAAAAAAGCACTGACATTTAAAATTTCCTAGAATATGTTGTTGCTGTTTCTTTCTTCCTATGAGTTTATCCCAGTGATGACCTTATATATGAGACATGGTATTACTATGTTCTGACTGGCATGACCTCAAGGTTCATAATTTGAGGAATCGTCGTCTAGTGCTACAAATTAATGTTGGTTTTTCTCTTACAATTGTAATTATCCTTATTAAACCGTTTTATATTGTTACTGTATTTTACATATTAAATGCTTAGGGGCATTTACAGTAGTGAATTGTGTGGATGCTTTTTAAAGCCAATCAATATAATTCCCTGTTTTTTTGTAATCTTTCAACGAAAGACTGAAGGAGATGAAATAACAGTCCAAGTTGTTGTGAAGGTTGATTCCAGGTTACTTTTGGAATGAAACTCTTGAATCTAAAAATTCCAAAAAAAATGCAGAAACGTAGATGTTCATAAAGCATAATGTTGTCGTAATATTTTTGCTTGAACCTAATTGCTCATAGGAAAGTGATGGGTACAGTATATCTGAATGATGTCAATTTCAGTTACTATTCCCTCCATATCTTGGTATGCAGGGAATTCAAAAAATGTAACTGAGTTCTTCTCAGATATACAGTATATTGTTAAGGGCTAACGGATCTCTTCAAGGTTGACGGTGGGCCAAACAAGAGCTGCTGGATTAATTTTAGCATAAGGTGCTGTAAAAAGGACAGTTGGTGCTTCATTAAACAACGGACATCTGAATCAATTGTTTGTACATACCTGAAAAATACACATTGTCGTATAAAAATATCCTGACATTTTCAAACATAAAGAGGTTAAGACCAAAGCAAACATAAAATTTGTAAATTTTCTTAAAATTACCTGAAATACGTTATTGAAGGTGAGATGAGTTTGATATTAGGAACCTTTTTAAATCATTAAATTTGTGCAAATTGATTTTGGTAATCATATCTTGGAAATATTAATTTTAACTAAATATTAATTTTAACTGAGTAAAAAATCATACTTTTTTTATAGACAAACAACAGTGTGATGGTAAATTATGAACCATTTCAGTGAATTTATTATCCAAATGTGAATGGGTTCGACAGTAGCAACACGGCGAGTGACACACTCTGTCAAATTGGTTCTACAGTAGCATTAAGAGGTTCAAGGAACCCTGAAGTCTCTCAGTATGAGGTTTAGAAGGATGAGAATGGAATGGGGGTGAATGTTTCATAAATTAAATACTCTCTCAGGGCTGTAAGGGAGACTAACTTTCATGCAGCAAATCTTGAACTTTAATTGGCCGCCATTTTGAAAATTGTCATACTCATGCATGTTTTCATTTATTAACAGTGCCATAGCCAGACCCCCCCCCCCCCCCCAAGTTGGGGACAAGTGATACTTGTACAAATATTTGCCCCCCCCTGTCAAAAAAGTTAACTACAGCCTTGATTAATGAATATAATTTTATATAGTTTATGTTACAAACTTGTGTCACTTTAATTGTATGAACTTTGTCCTTTACATGACCTTGGTTTTCTTAAGTTCATGTTTCTATCTAATATGTTGTAAAAGTAGACAGTAGGGTGATCTGTGGAAACTCAAGCTCTATTTTTATTGCATATACCCTATTGCTTTTAAGATGATTATTTTTAAATTCAAATTAATGTAAACTTTAAAACATCCACACAACAGATTAATTTGCGATAAAATTCTTGTAAAGGCTATTAGGTAAAATAAAGATTCATTTGAGATAATTTTCTTTCAAAGGCTATTAAAGATCTTATCATCAGTCTTGATGAGTTTTAAGTAAAAACAATAATGTTATTCCAAGAAATAAACAGAGTAGCCTGTATAAACTTTATACAGTGATTACAGCGTGTCCTGATAGGAATAATATTACCACTTGTTTCCTGAAATGTAACTTTTAGACATTACCACTGTGTCAGTCAGTGTAAGAAATGTGACGTAAGCTATTTTCTGTGATCCATTATTCCGGTGTTTTTTACACCAATCTTCAACACACAGGACCATGTTGCAGGAGATTGCCACATTCTCCCTCATCACCTTAACACACAGCAACAATGTTGTAGTGGTGTTGTGGCAATATGTTATTGCCATATGTGTCACTACAGCTGCTTGATACAGTACATTCAAAGCAAAAAATAATTCCTGTGACTACAAAATACATTCGTTATGTGTCCACAAAGTTTTCCTTGTCAGAAAACTTCAACAGGTCTTCAATTTAAGAAAGACGTTTGTTGAGGGTTTGAACACGGTGAGAGATGTAACTGTTAGCACAGAAACCATCAACAGGAAAAAGTTGTCGCTACTGTCGATGTGTTCCTCCAGTGAACATTTTCTCCATCAGCTGTTAAGGGAGTATTCATAATCGGTGCATATTGTCATCAGTTGATTAGTGTCACACATTTTTGTCATATTCTGACAAAGAGATGTTTGGGTGTGAAAATGGTCATGGAAGGCATAAACTGTTTCCAATACCTGCGGTATGGTTGTCGTGGCTGTGATGATGTCGTTGCTTGTAGCTGTGAGGATTATACAGCTCTTCTCTCATATTGTTGACAATAAGTCAACCTATATGATATTGTTACAGATTGTCCATTTTCTGTGTGAATTTTAGGAATTGCAGATATGCATACCTTTCAAAATCTTTATGGGTGCAGATTCAGTGGGATTGGGGTTTTGGTTGTGGTTGGATGTCGGTGGGGATGGGGTGTTGGTAGGGTGTGCAGTCGGGGTGTCAGTGGGGTGGTGTGTCGATGGGGTGGTGTGTCGATGGGGGGGGGGGG